GCTCCAACTGTTTTGTTTGTTTACTGTGTATAAACGTTTATTACTGTTTACCGTTTCCGTGTGTGTAAATGAAGTCATGTAAACTTGGTGTAAATGTTTATACACAGTAAACATACAGTTTCCTCTTATTGTTTGTAAAAGGTCTTAGTGTTGTACATTCATAGTCTTGCTAACAGACTTGACCTTTATTGGGCTGAAGAGTGCATCGCACCGCCTGTGCATCGTCCTCGGGCAGCCTCTTTGAACCCCCAAGCCCGGTGCACTGTATCAAGCGCCTATGCCCTGAGACTTACTGGGAGTAATGGTAGTCATGATTCTAACTTGTATTGAGCACAGTCTGAAGGCAAGCATTAAAAATATAATATAATGTGTATTTATTGACTGCTCCTCTACATATAGTCTACTGTGGGCACTGGCAGCCTGCCTGCAAGAGTGCGGTATGCAGGAATGTCGTGAGCCCATACTTCATTCAAGAGGAACAATATTAATATTAGTTCAACCTCATTGAGCGATAACAGTACCACATGCAATACTAAGGCAGATTGACTCTAAAAAAAGGCTATCAGAGGTCCGCACCCATGCAGCAGTCTTCTCTAGGCCAGCTCTTGAAGTCCTAGCACGAGAGTATGTTGTGTCACCCCCAAAGTGCCAGGCTAACACTCGCATAGGTTATCGGCCCACTTCTCAACAACGAGGTCAATGATAGGACATGCCAACCTTCTAAAGGCGGAACCGCAAGCTTCTTACAAGCCCCACGGATACCTTTGTAGGTCTTACCCTCGCAGTACAGTGCTGCCTGGCAATACCACTCCCGCAGCTTGTGATTGCCAGTGTTTGTCCTCCCGCAACCTCCACTGGCCGATCGAGACTATCCATGTACCCACAATCTGCGTACTATGCGTAGAGAACACCAGCGGGCCATAGGGATGACCATAGCACGATGCTTGAGGTACAGAGTGTTCAGATGCTGCCTGATGGCCGGTTCATGCTCGGAATATGATGCATGCATTGCTCCTTCCCTGTATGCATGAGTAGGTGCACTATCTATACACGTCCGAGTCGGGCCTAGTGTTTGGGACATCAATATCGTAAGTAAGAAGCTGCGGCCTCGCTTTTCTCTCGTGCCTCAAGCAAATGCCTTGTGTTGCTCAAGTACTGACATTTGTACCTCTCTTTTCAGGCTCAAGTAGAGCAGTAGGCTCACACAGGTTTCTCAGAGGCTAATCTGGCGCAATCCACTAGAGTGAGTTAGATCCCTTTAATAACTGTTTGTTTACTGTTTATAAACTGTTTATAAATGTTTACAACCATTTACTGTGTGTTTACAAAAAAGTTTACACGTAA